TTCGTTCGATATATATATATCGATTTTTTTTACTTTATTTCAAATCAATAACTTTACTTTATGTCAATTCAATAACTTTACTTTATTTCAAATCAGTAACTTTACTTTATTTCAAATCAAATTATTTTTACAATTAAATAAATGACTATAAATGTAAATATTAAAAATATTAAGTCAAAAAATATTCAATATTGAGCTTATTTCGAAGGTATTGACGCGACGATTATAATGGTGTAACTTGTTAAAATTAAAATATATTTTTTAAATATATTTTAATTGATATACGATTATGTATGTTAATTTGATCAGGATATAAAATAAAAATTTTAAAAGGAAAAGATATAAAGTGAATTAATTAACTAATTATAAAGGTAAAATATGTAAATTTAAATTTTTAAAATTCTTCAACAGTGAATTGTGAGTGTCTGAGAGGGGAAGGTTGTGAGAGAGGTAACAAAGTGCAGGGGTAAAAAGTGTTCCAGGGGCGGCAATATCAACCCCCAATTAAAAAGGTCGGCAACAAAAAGCAGAGTCGACATTCTTCCCTTGTGGACTGCCTTTCTCTCATTCCCCCTTTCTTCTTGGAGTCCTTTCCTTAACATACCTACACCATTTCTATCTATAAATACATACTCAATCAATCACCATGGATCACCAACAAAACAGAGCTTCTAACTACAGCCATGGATTTGGAAGCAGCCGCCGATATCTTTGTCCTACCATTCCTTGGTCAAGGTCATCTCTTCCCAGCTATGGAGCTCTGCAAGAATCTCTCTTCTCATCGTTACAATGTTACCCTCATCATCCCTTCTCACCTTTCCTCATCTATACCCTCCACCTTTACCAACCACTCCTCTTTTATTCATGTCGTCGAAATCTCCGTCTCGTCGCCACCGGAGACGGCCGACGAACCCGGATCTGGAAAAAAGGAGGTTCCGCCACCAGCTCCTATGGGGAACCCGCTTCACAATCAGAACATACAGATGGGTGAAGGAATCAAGTCGTTCTTGTCCACAGGATCCGGAGTCCGACCCACGTGTGTTGTGATTGACGTCATGATGAGCTGGAGCAAGGAGATTTTCGTAAATCACGAGGTCCCGGTGGTGTCTTTCTTCACTTCCGGCGCAATCGCATCCACCATGGATTACGGGAAGTGGAAGGCACAGGTAGGAGACATGAAGCCAGGTGAGATCCGAGTGATTCCCGGCTTGCCTACACAAATGGCTGTGACTTTTGCAGATCTAAGCAGAGGTCCCCGAGGAAAACCACAACGATCGAACCGGCCTGCCGATGGAAACACCGGACCGCCTAGTGGATTTAGGGGCCGTGGTCCGCCTACACCAGGCCAGAAGCCACGTTGGCTGGACGAGGTGGATGGCTCGGTGGCCTTGCTCATCAACACCTGTGATCATCTTGAACGTTTATTCATCGATTACCTCGCTGAACAAACCAAGCTTCCGGTCTGGGGCGTCGGGCCACTGCTACCGGAACAGTTTTGGAAATCAGCTGGTTCAATCCTCCATGATCACGACATGAGATCAAACCACAAATCCAATTACACAGAAGATGAGGTGATCCAATGGTTGGAATCAAAGCCATATGGATCCGTAATCTATATCTCATTTGGGAGTGAGGTTGGACCCTCGATTGAAGAGTACAAAGAACTAGCCAAATCGTTGGAAGAATCAAAGCAGCCATTCATTTGGGTGATCCAGCCAGGTTCCGGTAAATCCGGCGTTCCACGATCCTTCCTTGGGGGAGCTCATACTGACACCGAAGAAGAAGATGAAGAAGAAGGATACTATCCTGAAGGGTTAGACGTGAAAGTCGGGAAGAGAGGTTTGATCATCACGGGATGGGCACCACAGCTGCTGATTCTGAGCCACCCATCTACCGGCGGCTTCTTATCACATTGTGGGTGGAACTCAACCGTGGAGGCCATCGGCCGCGGGGTACCGATCTTGGCGTGGTCAATCCGTGGTGATCAGTTCGACAATGCAAAACTGGTTGCGAAGCATCTGAAGATAGGGCACATTATATCGAATGAGGATGGGCGGCATGGAAAGTTGAAAAGGGATGATATAGCAGCCGGAATTGAGAAACTTATGAGTGATGAAAAGGTACGTAATCAAGCCAAGGAACTTAGCAAAGAATTCGAGAGTGGATTTCCGGTGAGTTCTGTGAATGGATTGGGTGCTTTTGTGGAGTTTATCAGCTCAAAAGCAACATGATTGACTTTATGTATATACATACATTCATGTATGAATTTCTTCATCATTTTTCTCTCAAACTAACTATTTATGTTAGTTCATACTTCTTATGATTTGTAGTCAACAAATCTTTTTATTCCAAGCATGTTACCAAAAACTACTAAGAAATTGTTCAATTTCTTCTAGGTAGTGTTTGGTACGAAGACAGAACGGCGCAAGTCAGTCTAATTGTCTGTCCCATGTTTGGTACGAACTAAGACAGGACATGACAAAACTGTTAAAATGACCATATTACTCATAAATGTTGTTCAATGTTATTTTATATCATATAATGATTGTAAAATGACAACAAATCAACCAAAATATATTTTAATTATATAGTTTTTATAATCAAGTTTAATACATTAAATAAATCCAAAAAAATGACAAGTTTTTATAATCAAGTTTAATACATTAAATATTCCATACTTTAACGAGTACAAACAAGTCATTCCGGTCTATCTCTACAAAAAAACACAAAACAAAGTAACAAACATAGTCAAAACAATGACCGAAGATACCTTTTTCATATGCATTTTCAATAAGCAATGACCCAAGATACCTTTTTCATATGATTTTTTCAACAAACATTAAACCATTTATTCTAGCCCACTGTTTTGAATCTTTATGTGCAATTAGAAGAAAAAGAATTGTATGATATTGATTTATAAATCAAATAAACCATTTACAACTCACTGTTTTGAAACGTCCCCCCAAACCTCTGCCCCTCCAACCCCCCCAATCTGGTGTTAACTGCATTTACTGCTGTGCGATTTACGCAGAAATTTGAACATGTGGTTTTTTAATGGTATTTAAACGACCTTTTAGTGAGGGGATTTTGTTAGGGTTTACCGTCAATAATTCAATAGAAGAAACAAAAATCATCAAGTTTTGTCCTATCAAATTTAAAAATAGTCCATCTTGTCCCATGTATTTTTTGTCCATGGCATGCCAAACATGGGACTATTTTTTTTGTCCCGTCCCGTCCCATATAGTTTGCATACCAAACGCACCCTTAGGTTTATTTATGGTTATTTTTTATACTATAATAGTACCCGCGTAATGCAGCGAAATATATTTCGATTTAGTATGTAACACAAATCGAAATTAAGTTAATCATGGAATGATAAGAATTTAATGATTCTCCCAACTATTGATCATAGAAAAAGCACTACCATTTGCATTGACATCTCTATAGTGTGTCATTTGGTCTCTTTCAAGACTTCAAATGTTTCTACATGTTCCTCCGGTTCCCAACTCCCTTTCTGTGGATGACGATTGCAACCTTCATCATGTTCCGTCGTTAATTAACTTCATCAAGATAGTTGATTGTAACAAAAAATATCATAATTGAATGAACAAATTTCCGGATAAACCTAGGTTTTGAATTAAGATGCTTGACGTTAGAGTTTAAAGCGGTACAAATCATAAATCAATCAAGCTATCAGAAGCAATGGTCAATCAATACAGCCACCCATAAAGTTGAAGCTTACCTTGAAAGAGAAGCAATCAAGATTTGAGGATGAGAAGCAATCAAGCTCTGGGGAAGTAAACCTAAACCGACAAAAAGACAAACAAAGAAACCATAAAGAATCGATACGTAATGAGTAAAAAACAAAGAAGCAAAAATTGATACATACCATAAATCAATCAGAAGCAATGGTCGATACCCATGAGGTTAAAGCTTACCTTGAAAGAGAAGCAACCGAACTTTGGGGAAGGGAAGTTGACGGTGATTATAAGAAATACGGAGTGAAAACCGCCTATTAAATATGCAATCAATAATAACTATCTACTTTTTAAAAAAGATAGATTCTAAAGATGTTTGTTGGATTAGAAAGATTATAGGGAAAGAATAAAGATTTCAATGAGTAACATGCTTAAAAAACATGTACAGCAACTAATATTTTTGAATTTTAAGAAATTAATTCTACCTTGGGCGGCTTCGGTTTTCCCACAAGGTACGGTTACCATTTGACTACCTATTCAAGAAAAAAGGACACAGGGATCAACACGTGTATCAGGACACGCATCAAATCCTGAGTAAGTATTTGACTCTCTACTCCATCATATAATTTCACTGCATTCCCACCACCTTCAATATATATTATATATCCATCTATATCTTCAATAACCAAACTCATACCAAGAACAGATAGCTTCAAACTACAGCCATGGAAGCAGTCCGTGGTGATATCCTTTTAGTACCATTCTTTGGCCAAGGTCACCTCTTCCCAGCTATGGAGCTCTGCAGGAAACTATCTTCCCATAACTTTAATATCTCCCTAATCATCCCTTCTCACGTTTCTTCATCTATTCCCTCCACGTTTTCCGACCACTCCTCTTTCGTTCATGTTGTTAACATCTCCGTTGCCGGTTCACCGCCACCGGAAACTGTTGAAGAATCCGAATCTGGGAAGGAGGTTCCGCCATCAGCTCCTAGGGGGAACCCTCTCCGTCACCAGAATTTGCAGATGGGTGAGGGAATCGAGTCGTTCCTGTCCGCAAGGTCTGAAGTAAAGCCCACGTGTGTTGTGATGGACGTCATGATGAGCTGGAGCAAGGATATTTTCGTAAATCACCAGATTCCGGTGGTGTCTTTCTTTACTTCCGGTGCAACCGCTGCCGCCATGGAATACGGAAGATGGAAGGCCCATGTAGGAGATATGAAGCCCGGTGAGACCCGAGTGCTTCCTGGATTACCTACAGAAATGGCCGTCACTTTTGCGGATCTAAGTAGAGGTCCAAGAGGAAGGTCTCAGAGACCAAACCGGCCTACAGGTCATCCCGTAGGGTCACCACATAGCATGAGGTTCGGACCGCCCGCTGGACCGAGAGGTGGTGGTCCGCCTCCACCAGGCCACAAGCCACGTTGGGTGGACGAGGTTGAGGGCTCGGTGGCCTTGCTTATCAATACTTGTGACAATCTCGAGCGTTTGTTCATCGATTACATTGCTGAACAAACCAAGCTTCCGGTCTGGGGTATTGGACCGCTGCTACCTGAGCAGTTTTGGCGATCAGCCGGTTCAATCCTCTATGATCATGAGATGAGATCGAACCACAAATCGAATTTCACAGAAGATCAGGTGATCGAATGGTTAGAATCGAAGCCATATGGATCAGTAATCTATATCTCGTTTGGGAGTGAGGTTGGACCCACAATCGAAGAGTACAAAGAACTAGCCAACTCCTTGGAAGAGGCGGACCAGCCTTTCATATGGGTGATCCAACCGGGTTCAGGTAAGACCAGCATTCCCCGATCCTTCTTGGGGGCAGCTCAAACGGACACCGAATCCGAAGAAGAAGAAGGGTATTATCCTGAGGGATTAGACGTGAAAGTTGGGAAGAGAGGTTTGATCATCACCGGATGGGCACCACAACTGTTGATTCTGAGCCACCCATCTACCGGTGGCTTCTTATCACATTGTGGGTGGAACTCAACCGTTGAGGCGATTGGCCGTGGGGTACCTATCTTGGCATGGCCGATCCGGGGTGATCAGTTCGACAATGCGAAACTGGTGGCCAACCATCTGAAGATGGGGTACATAATATCAAGTGGTGCTAACGAGGAGGGGCGGGCAGGAAAGTTGAAGAAATATGATATAGCAGCAGGAATTGTGAGACTAATGGATGATGAAAAGGTGCATAATCGGGCAAAGGAACTTAGCAAAGAATTCCAGAGTGGATTTCCAGCTAGTTCAGTGAGTGCATTGGGTGCTTTTGTGAAGTTTATTAGCTCAAAAGCAACCTGATTGGTTTAACTAGTAGGAATTCTGTGCCAGATCATAATGTATGTTGTCACTAAACTTAAAAAGACGAAGGCTTTGCATTTGAACTACTATTTGCACACCAATTTCACGTTTCTTTATTCATTTTCTAAGGAAATGGAACAATCTTCTATTGTTTTCCATTATTGATCTTAACACGCTGATGGCACAAAAGAATTATGCAACCTCTGGCAACTAAAAAGAAAAATTTAAGAAGAGTAGGATGAAAGCCAACCACTTTCGAGATCATTGCTGTGACTCTGGTTCTGACTTTGGATCTGCATCTGGTTCCGGTTCTAACTTGGGAAAAATAGCATATTACTCGCTCCAAATTGGAAATACTTTGCAGCACCTGTTACTCGTTCAGACATCTCAAAAGAAAATCAAATTTGTCATTCGAGCCAGATGAACAATGGATAAGAGTTCAAAGCAATTATGTCTTCAGACAGTTAAAAATTCTCTAGTCCCATTCTTCTTGTGATTCTTCCATTTCAAATGCAATCCAAGGGTAAACAATGAATTGAATCCACTTCAAATATGATACACTAAGATCGTCTGAAGGAACAAGCTCACAATTTATGCACACAAATACCCTAAGTAGCGGAGTTTACAATGAATAATGGGTAAGAACATGAATCAGCAGCTAAAATGCAAGAGAAAGAACACAAGGAAAACATGTGACTTAACTAGATCAATCTACCGAAGCACAATCATGAGAAATATAATTCTGTTCCTTACTTTTTTGGTTATTTTTCTTCTGTTTCTCTACTCTGAGAGCTTTTCAAAATGACCAAGTTCCATATGATTCTTGAAACGTTGCTTCTAGATCCTCCTCATACTATGAGGATCTATGGCATTCTTGAGAAAGGAATGTGGCACAAATATGCTATCTTCTGTGTTTAAGTTTCATTAATCCTGTCCAATTTGATCAGCTTGACGACTGAATCCATGAGCGGAATCTGCCTATACGATCTACTTGTCTTCGAATCTATGTTTTGTTGCAACATTGCAATCACATTTTGTTCAAATTTCGAGAAAATCCTGATTGTCCAATTCCAGTTTATTAGGGATTTTTGCTATGATTTTGATATGGTGTACCTGGTTCTTACAACTAAATGCAATGAAGAAACTAAAATTCATCATGTCTGATCTTATAATCTGCTTCTTAGGCATCGTTTTTAATGATCTAGAAGAAATGCCAATATCATGAATGCTAGATAACAAAACACAATCACAATGCATAACAGCATTCAGTATCGATCCAAATGAACGAGATGAGCCATTACCATATCATCCACATACTTCTTTCCTCTTGTAATACGCTCGCGATCCCGACTCACCGATCCAAATACCGCATATGAACGAAAGATTTCCAATCTTCCTCTTCACGGCACCATCCACACGCCATATATTAACTTCAAAATCGACATCTGGAGCTTTTATTCTGATCCTTAATTAATCAATGTTCGCCATCATTGCTCGCAAACCCCCAAAAACCTACACATATATCCCACATTTGCATATTCAAACCGACTAGAAATTTTCTCCCTATATCTCTTCACTCCACTGATTCGCTGATCAATTGTGATATAAGTTCAAAATCCGCCTGCAAATTAAAGTGCAAGTCAAAACTATACTTCTTTACATACGTATGCTTGTTATATTACGACATTGTGTTTGTAGGTAGACGTAAAACTTATCTCCTGTCACCGATTTACAGATTGATGATGTTGGCCGGCGAGTGGTCCGATGTGCGTGACGGTGGATTATGATTGGTTTGATTTTGTGGGAGGTCGTAAACCACCATGCGCCTTTGGGTGCTTGGATCATCTCATAATTTAATCAACGGTGGGAAACCCTATCTCCAACGATTATTTTATAACGGAGAAAACGAAAATCTTGGAGGTTTTTGTGAACCGACTATTTAGGGGTGTTTAATCGGTCACCAAGCTGTTCATGGCGGGACTACCCGTTAGACCCGGTCCATCCGGCCCGCTAGAAATACGGGTTTAGACAATCCATAAACGGGTCCAGGTTTGTTCGTTAAAATTAACGGATGAACATGGACAATGTAAAGTCAAATATGAACAGACCCGTTCGACCCGTTTATCTTTTATAATTAATATTTTTTTACCATTAATTAAAATTATAGTAGTATATTTTAAAATTAAGTTATTAAAGTTTTAGGACGAGTGTTAAAACTCTTTGGTTTTTCTTGAGAACCGAAAAGGCTCTACATTATTTTTGTTAGCATTTTTATGTCAAAAGTTCTAATTGATCAACAATTGATAGAGTCGGTAGTTGCTTAAAGTTTTTAATTGCAGAGGTGTTTTTCCTTTACTTTTTGGTTCCACATTTGTTAATTAATAGTTACACTTTTGAGGTCCATTAGCACGTTTATAGGGCGAGCAGTAACAAGTTGTCAAGCCCCAAAAAAAAGGCTTGGATTTACAATATTAGACCTTGTTGGACCAAAAAAACAAGTTAGGCCCGACCTAGCCCCAACTTGTGCCCGCAAATGATCACCTCTAAATCAGACGTATTAAACAGTAATTAATGAAAATGAAAATAAAAGAAACCGAATATTTAGGGGTGTTTAATCAGACGTATTAAACAATATTTAATGAATGGGATGTGCACTAAAACCATGAACCTGAGGTGTAGTCCCAATGACATCATTATGTGGCAATACTTTTGTGTTCCCGCAACATTGATGGAAACGGGTCTCCCCTGACATCGAGAGATATTTCCTGTGTATAATGCCCAGGTAGGGACAACTTGTTGTGGTACACGGTATTGTACCACTACCGCGGGTCGGGTAACACTTTCAATTTATTTCTCATATCTACCTTAAGAGTTATTTTTGTGTGTGATCTCACTAGCCGTTAAGCCTAACACTTGTTCTTGATTATATGATTTCTAGGTCTTGCTAGTGGCGGATCTAAAACCGCCTAAGGGACTTGGTTGATGACGTTTTGGGAAACACTGTAGTGGATGTTGAATAATCGGAAGATAGAATAACACCCGACTGTAATCTAGTTCCTTTTTAAATCATACTAGTGTTTGACACCATGCGTTGCATGGTGACAATAATCCTTTTTAAAATTATTGAAGTTAGTTAAATTAGTCGATGATCATATTTATATATTAAACTAATAAGAATCAATATTATCTTTGATATATGAATCCACCTTATAATTATTGGTTGTTCTTTTAATACATATATATATATATATATATATTATTTAAATTACAAAAATGAAATCTTTTAACGATTAATGCGGTTGAAAATATTTTAAAATAAATAGAATTTGATAAAAAAGTTTCAACAATTGTATGTTGAAAACATTTTAATGTTAAATAAGAATGAGAAAATAAAAGATGAATATGAAAAATGGTTTTTCATTAAACTTGGTTTCTCAATATTCCATGAGGAGTAGTTGTTGTCAACCAAACTCTAAAACAATTGTTAAAAACATATTGTTGGTTCTATTGAGAAAAAAACTTAAGAAAAATGTAGAAGACATTAGTTAAAGAAAACCTCTAAAATTCCAACAAAATTAAGAAGAATTGTATACTCAGATTAATCGTTTCGAAATAAACCTAAACAGATATAACCATTAAAAAAGGGCATATTGAAGTTTGGTGATGCTACATGAAAAATTGTAACAAAAAAACTTCAAAAATCTCAATAAAAGTCAAAAGGAAAGCATACACACATTAGTTTTTTCAAAGTATACTTGAAAAAGATAACTATTACAAAAATATATTGAAATTTGTTGAGGCTACATCATGGTTTGTAATACTTCCAAGATTCTATCATCAAACGATTAATCGAAYYATTGTTGCCATGAAAACTTTAAAAGTGTTGTCAAAAACAAACTCTTCGTTTCATTGAGAAAACTTAGGAAAATCATAGAAGATAAAAGTAAGAAAAAACAAAATTCTAAAATCCCAAAAAAATAGAAAGGAACGCATACCTGAATTGGTATTCTCGAAATAAACTTGAAAATAGATTTGGTGAAAAATAACAAACAAATCAAGTGATAGAGATGGTGAAAAATGAAATGAAAACAAATCAAGTGATGGAGATGAAAAAAAGAGATTGAATGATGAACAATTTATGAAGAAGAGTTAGGGAAAATGAAAAGATTGTGTTAAATGCAAACATAAATGATAATCAATGTTTATAGAAATAAGAATGTGAAATTAAAAAAAAAAAGATTAAAGGAGGATGAATGAAAAAAAAGATAAATAAGTTTCCAACCCTTAGGAGAAGCCAAGTCATCAACCTTGGTTTCTCCTTTAATATATATATAGATTATATATTTATTTGTTTGTTTAGACTTTGGATTGCTTGGATTTTAGACTCAAGAGTTGTTTAATTATTACATTTATTTGTTTCGATATTTTGTTTTGTTAAAATGGATATTTAATTTAAAATTCTAAATTTTATATGTTTTTTCAGTTTAATATTCAAAGTCCATTGAAGGCCCAAACCGCCTAAACCGGTCAGACCAGACTACCTTTTTGTGGTCTGGTTTGACCGGTCTGGACACTTAATGTCAAACCGCTCGGTTTGAAAATTTTATAAACCGTCATTACGGTTTGATTTGTGGTCTGAGGGGTTAAACCGCCCAAGCCGAACCGCGAACACCCCTAGTTTCTCTGTAAGCATACAAACAAGTAATGTAATCAACTTTTTCTATAAGCATACAAATTAAACCTGTAATATAGTTTGATACAGGTTTCTACATGTATTTTGCAAAAAAAAAAATTCAGCAAAACCAGGAACCACAAAACAGCATAGAGATGGAGACGACGATGGAGGAGAAGAATTGAAGAAAATAGGCGCACCGTGGGAGAAAGGGACGAAGAGGACCACCGTGGGAGAAAGCGACGAAGACGACCACCGTGGGAGAAAACGATGGAGACGGCGATGGAGGAGAAGATGGAGACGGTGAGCGATGAAAGTTTAAGTTAGGGCAAAAAAATCCAAGGCGAATGGATTTAAAAAACCATGTCTTTCCAAAGGATTCTCAAATCCATTGGTCACGGGATTTTAAATGAATCCCTGGATTTTAAATCCCAACAATCCCACAGACCAAACACATGATTGGAATGGATTTCAAATCCAAATCCCTCCAATTTCATTCCATTCATGCAAACCAAACGCACCTTTAGGGAGTGTTCGGGATTTCACGGGATTTCGTAAAATTGTATAAAATAAGGTTTTGAAAATATGAAAAACATTTGTTTTGTAATAATCAATTAATAAAAAATGTAATTCAATTATTTTTATAATTATTTCTGTTTTTTATAAATTATTTATAAATAATGGAATCCAATTCTATTTCAAATCCTACAAACCAAACACACCACTGATTTTAAATCCATTCCAATCCAAATCCCTCCATAAAATTCAAAATTCTAAAAACAATCTTACAAACTAAACGAATGCTATAATGGAATCAATAAGTCTTTATATTATTATTTCTGCTTTAATTGTTGCTTTCTTTATAGTATACTTGCACTAACAAATAAAATCCTTATTGGTCACTTGAATATTAAAATATTTATTTCTAAATGTTATAGACCCCAAAACTTGATTTTAAAAATACCCAAAACAGAGTAAAAATTCATACATTTTACAGACAACTTATGACATCTTTGTTAACAATATAATAAGCTTAATGAGATTTGCAACTTATTTGATCAGCTATATATAATTGTTTAGTAATGGCTTATAATTCAGTAATCTTTTAGGAGGGGGTTATGTAGAAAGACAAGTTTTTTTTTCCAAACTTGTTTCTCCCAATTAAAAGCATTCTCCTCCATCTATAGAAATAAGAAAACAAAAAACTCCCAAACAAAGAGCCTTCCGGTCGATACAAACAATTTAATCGACAAAGACAACATTATTTATGGACTTAATGGAAACCAACCAAACAACCCCTTGCCTTCATATTACATCAATTGTGGATCGCTTCTTGATCATCATTGTTAGTACAAATCAACATTTCTCCTCAAAAGGAAGTTCCATTCATTCATTCATTTTGATAGCTTTCTTAGCACAAAGATGGAATCTGATGGTGATGGTGTTCAAATGAAGGAAAAATATGTCATCTAGCTGCAACACTGCAATCAATAACCATGAAAACATTGCACATTCTGCTTAACCAACTGCTTAATACCTTCACTTCTCTAAATCTCCGATGTAGAAGTCATCGATCATGTCAAATACTCGGGTTGCATGTTGTGGCCTGCCACACATAAAACGCACGTAACTAACTCGTACATACTTAACAATGCACCATGAAAAAAAGGTTGAACAGTAAGTATGATCATAGAAGAAGTACAGATCTTTTTATATATGTTTCATAAGGAAGCATCAAGGAGATTACATAAGAGGTTCTTAAAACTGTACTAAGCCAACTACTGAATTTGGATGGGGGCAATATGTATTCAGATGAAATAACATGCTTCTGAATAAAACCAAGGCTGTACTCTATCCACAAATGTTCACCACCAGTCCTTGGTATTTCCTATATCGAAAATTTTCAAGTTTTATTCCATCTTCTCCAGAGAGATAAGAGTCCTCTGGCACCTGGCATCTCAAAATTTGTTTGTTTGTTCGTTTTCCGCATAGCACAAATCATGTACAAATTTGAGCTTTACATAGTAAAAAAGTGAACACAATCAGGGCAAAAGGTCAAATAATGAAGGTTGGATGTTTCCCTTGCTTATGTTCAGCTAAAAAGATAGATGATTGGAGCAAAACTCACCCTCTAACAACTAAAACAGCACTTGGTGAAGATCTAAGAGATTGCAGTACAAGTCCAGGGTGAATACACAATGCCATTCAAATATATTGTGGCTTAGGCATCTTCCTAAAATTGCAAGTGAGCTCACATTCAAGGGCAATACAAAGAAAGGCAGCGGTTGATTACCATAGGTGGAAATGTTTTTCTGATGGGTTACAGAAAGTATTCTCAGAACAACTAATTCTCTGTACTGTCGAAGCGAATAGCATGAAAAAGTAAGCCTTTCAAAATCAGACAAGCAGATCACTTCAGATAGTTGTTTTTCAAATGCATGAATGGAAAATAAAGGCATATTGGAATTAGAGGTTTACCCAAAAAATCCTTCGGTGGAGTCATCGCCCGCATGCGCCAGAATTGCATCACCACCAGGGTGTTCTTCTACATACGGAGTAACATCATATACCTACAGTTTATTAAGAGTTAAACATGAGGGAAAAATACTTGAGGAAAGTATTTTTTTTCTATGTGACCCATGTAAACCTTCCATGGTTTCATGTTCATATAGTGATGAGACAAAGTATTAGCGTAAAAAACCTACAGAACCTTCTCTTTGATGATGATCCAGCAATCTGTCCTCTTGTTGTGCAAGGAAACTTCATCCTTGTTGTATGCTTTTACAGTCTACAAGTAAAAATATACAACATTAGAATATCCATTACCACTCTATGGACAGTAACACAGTATAGACCATATATGCATTTTCAATTAAAGGTCAAAAAGCTTCCCCTTTAATATTTTGTTATTTTTCTTTCTTAGAAGGGGAGAATTCCTTTTGATTGAGACACCATAAACAATCAACTACAGAAGTTGAGAAGTAATGGGTATGTATGTTTCTCCAATCATCAAGTGCATGCCTACTATGCTATGCTAAAATCCCTTCTAATTTGTACATAAAACTTCTACTCCTTTTTCTAACAAGCCAAGATTAGGGCTTGAAAGCAGAGAAAAATCATTTCACTGTTTTCAAAGTTAATATCTAATTGTAAATTACAAAGCTGCTTCACTTTTCTATGCTAATATAAAGTTGGTAGATTAAGTACAGCCATCTATTCTCTAAGTACATAGTTAATATCTATCTAGATAGAAAATCAGAACATCTCTTAACTCTTGTATGCTCATTGACTGCATGTTAAATCATGAACAACCATCAAAACCTTAAGATCCATTCTGAACTAGATGTCTTTTGAAACCAAGTACCCCCTAATTAGGAGAAACTCCTTACTTTGGTAATTCAAATCTAGTGCTTTTCAAAATAACATGAAAACTAATTCTTAAATTCTGCTTTATAACAAAAGCAATATTAAGAATTTGAAGCTAAAAATCAACTCAAAAACACCCAAAACCCAACATAAACTCTTATTTTAGAGACATAGATAGCATAAGTAAAGCAAGAAATGGCAGTAGATTCCCAACCTTTGCTAATCCATCTCTACAGCCACTGTACATACATACCACACACATTGTAACTAAAACAAAAAGATGCCTAAAATATGTTATCAAACTGACCTAATACAAATAAAGGATCGTATTGAACACAGAAATTTGATTAATTTTTTAATAAAGTACCTTGTTAGCATCTGAATGAACCTTCTTGGTTTCATCTGGCATTAAACAAATACCCATAGATTAAAGAGGTCGAAACACTCCATACATATAAACACTGCTAAAATCAATCACAATGAGGGTATAATAACGAAAATTAGACGAGAAAGAAAACTTAATAACAAATGAAGAGATCTACCGGATTTGATAAACCGGGGGGCAATAAACAATAAACTGAATAAAAAGCCAAGAATCAAAGTGACCACCATTAGCTCCATAGCTCCGCCACTGTCAGTCGTCGCTCGCTGATATATTGTGTGTGCCCAAATTGAAGAGGAAAACAGACGGATCTACGAATGTCTTCTAATTTCTCCTTTCCGCCATGTGTGTGAGTGTGAGAGAATTAATTGTGGTTGACGGCGATTGGATGCCCCGTTTGGACTTTAGCAAATTTTCAGCTTTATTCGACTTCCACTTATTGCCATTTTCAGTCCCTCCAACGTTTTTGTTTTTTTAGTAAACGCGTGGATAAAAGCTAATAATGTTTTGAAAGTTTATTGTCATTTTTTTAATTATACTTTTTATTTATATTAATCATTATTTATTGCTATTAATTATAGATAATTAATAAATATAAATAAATTAATTATTACTAATATTAAATATTAAATTGATATTAATTGAAAGTTATTAATTCATTTACTTATACTTTATACATTAATATTTAATTATTTAAAATAATTATCAATCATATCACTACTTTTTATATTATTGTTATTTTATTTATTACTCAMTWAATGTARTTATCAAAAATATATATACAACAATTCTAAAAATGTTTATTAAAGTTCTATAAATTAAGTTTATACTTATATTGTTTTATTGATAATATGACCGTGCTAAATAATTTTCATAAACTATTTAATAAAATTATTGATTATATTTTTTAAAAATTATTAATTAATTAGGATATGTGGGATTAAATAATTTTATTTATATTTATATTTTATGTAATGATTATTAAAATTATAAATTAATAGATTTTTTTCTAAAATTTATTTTAACAAATCTAAAATTTATAATGTATATGATAACCAATTTGAAATTCTTTCAACAAATTCTTTGTATAATGCCATTTTTTTTATAGTTTTATTTATTGGTTTATTAAATAATAAAAGAATAAACTTTAATTTTTGGTTCATGAGGTTTTGTGAAATTTTTTAAAGTGGAAACAGGTTTAACTTTAGAAATATTCTTGTGATTCTCATTTTCCTTTGAAAGTCGTCACTGATCACTAACTTTGTTAAAAAAATGTATGTTAAATGAGGGGTAATTTAGTCTTTTTTATCGTAAAATGATATTATTATTTATATTATACATTATATTTTATATATATGTAGAACAGAGTCACCATCAAAGTCAGTGACCATTCTCGCTGACGGCCACCGTCCCTCCCAAATCCATTTACCATCTTCAACTGAAACCTACAAATGTTCATTTATTTCTCCCCCTAAAACCTTAATGTTGAATGTTGATATCTCTCTCTCACATGTGCACACACACGTAAAGGCTTTCTGTTGTGCCTTTTTCTGAATTTTATTAATTTTCATAGTCATATTTTGATCTTTTTGACATTTATGTTATCTATATTTTTCAATGTATATAAATATAAAATTTGGTATTAATTTGATATTTCTATAATCTATACATGATCTGTTTCTATAGTCCTGTTCAAACGACCCTAAAATAAAAACCTTATTCTTTTTCGAATATGATAATGTCATTATGATCTACGTGAGTCGCTGAATGCAAGTATATATACGTTGTACAGTTTTTAAAAACATTTCAGCACTAAAATAATTAAAATGATATACTTAATATAGAATTAATCCTATAAATAAAACTTAGTCAATGATAAAATATTATTAATAGCTAATTTGAATAAAACAACGAAATCTTTTAAATAGAGTCAATGATAAAATATTATTATAATATATATATATATATTATTTTTTTAAATGTTTATGTTTATTTTTTAATATATAATTCAATATATATTTTTCATTATATATATTTCTTTATTCTATTTTCAATAAAGAGCAATAAAGATATTTTCTAACCACAAGGGTGGTGCCTAATTGATTTGAGCTTGGTTCTAAAAGTCAAAAGTATCAGGAGGTCTCAGGTTCAAATCCAAGAAGAAATAAAAATCTCCTTGTGGCCATGGAGGTTCAAATACGGTGACTTCGGGCTATCTGCAAAGCAGGTGGTCGCCATAGGATTAGTCGGCTCGCATAGCGAGTTGGATATCCAGATATTTTTTTGACTATTCAAATTATCTTTTTTAATCATATCATTATTTGATATTAAAATCTTAACTTTTACATCTGATATAAATACCTGAATACTGGATAAATAACTTAACTTATCTATCATATATCAATATTGTTATAATATCATATATCATATCATTTATCTTCAAGATTTAAGACACCTAAATGATCATGATTTTGTCATTATTGAATAGTGAAAATTGGATGTTACAATTAGGGGTGAGCAGCGGAACCGGGTACCCGGCTATGGAACCGGAACCGCCTTGGAACCGGAACCGGAACCGATATGAATGGTTCCGGTTCCGGTTCCTAAAATACGGAACCGATTGAGAATGGTTCCGGTTCCGATTCTCAATTTTTCGGAACCGTTACCCGCCGGGTACCCGGTATTTTTAAATAAAAATTATTATTATTTTTTAATACCAAATTTATATTAGGTTTACATCTTGAAAGCACGCCGTCATCTTCATTCTTCATCTAAATTCTTCATATACAATGATTCCTATTTTTTTAAATTGTGTGTTCACTTGGATTCATAGTATGTAATCGTTAAACTTTGAAAATTTACCATTATAGTATGTAATCGTTAAACTTTGAAAATTTACCATTATAGTATGTAATCGTTAAACTTTGAACATTTTCTATTAGTCTATTATGGTTTGTAATCTTTAAACAATATTTGTAACCATTATTATATATAATTTGTATTCTTGCTTATTTATTTAGTGTTTTGGCAATGTTTTATTTTTTATTTCTAAATAACAAAATTTTAATATTTTAGGAAGCGGGTACCCGGAACCGGAACCGGTTCCCGGCGGTTCCGGTTCCAATATCTCAAGAACCGCTCTAACCGGTTCCGGTTTCAATATCTCAAGAACCGCCGATTCCGGTTCCGGTTCCGGTCAAAAAGGGCGGGTACCCGCCTATGCTCACCCCTAGTTACAATTCTCTCCTCCTTATAAAAAATTGAACAGATCGAGCAAGTTCGAATTGACGTAACATGAAATCCTCATTTTCATTTTACTAGATATAGCTAGGGCTTTAATTTCTCATTTATTATTCTATTTCCCATGTAGCAACATGATGATCACTTCAACTAACTAACACCAAAGGTATTTCTTTAGTTCGAAGTTTCTCAACTTATGACCTAGAAATATCACATTCTTAAATATAATTCTTCTAACTTTCATCCAGGGTGGATGGAATGGTAAAAAGGAGGGGGGAAAGGACCCCAGTCAAAAATTTAAAAAAAAAATCATAGGTTAAAATTTAGGTTTTACATGATTTACCTTTCACTTCCCCTCATTACATTTTTCCACGGGCCCTCAACCCCAATCGAAATCGTTACTCTAACCAAAAAAATCTGTTGAAATCAATAAAAAAAACCAAAAAAGTTATTCGAAATCGACAAAAACACTAAAAAATTCCTCGAAATCAATCAAAAAACTTTAAACTTCCCTTGAAAACGTTGTAAGTAGGTTAAAAACACATCGGACAATTTTACGGGTCTTTAGTCTACCTTAAAGATGACCCCATTGGGCAAAAATCTTGGATCTGCCACTACTTTCATTGCTTCTTTAATTGATGTTATCTACTATCTGAATATCCTTATATACTTTGTTCAAAATCCTTTTTCTTAACACCAATTCACAATTACTAAACATCGATCCCTTTTGGATGCGATTGTATCTCATAATATATCATTAAACTCCCGATTATTTGCATATATTCAAATTCCATCATTTACCGATATCTTAACTTCTCTGAAAATGATATTTAACCGTCAAATTACCACTCCATGTCACTACTTATCCATAAATCAATGATTTAAAGCATTAATCTACTAACCACAGTTGCCAATACTATGTATGAACTACTTGGACTGTATTTCCTGACACTAGATCCTTGGCCATAACTTATCATATAAATATCTTGATCAGCTTAAAAATTGGCTCTAACTTTTACTAATCAACATTTATCTATTTGTAGTACTAAACATTTCCCATAATCGTACTATAATGGTATTATTATATTTCAAAAATCATAGTAGTGTACAAAAAGAAATTTCGTTTTCAAGATTAGCAACATCGTGCTTTCGATGTGCACTCTGATTACATGCAAATTTCTGAAATAACCTTGACAATATAGACTACATAGTGGTTGTGATCTACCCCACATGACCTTCTTTGTCATGCTCTTTCGGTGAACTTATTATCCTGTTATACCCACTTGTCATATTCTTATGGTGAACTCTTAACAACCACAACCACAACCACTATGTTAGTATAACATCACGTTCATGCATTTTCAGAACATTTTTTAAAACATTTAGAAGTTAATACTTTATAGCATGAACAGTTCTTATTTCACAACAGGTTGATTTTGAACTTGACTTAAATTTCTAGTGGTATTATTGTCGAGGATCTTTTCTACATATTCTATAACCTGCATTCTTGCTTAACGTCTCTTATCTATGCCATCGAATTCATCAAACCTTTTTCTCGTATTTCATCTCTCTATCTAACATTATACACATGTACATATTCTCCTTTCAGATTTAAATCTTAACCATACTTTCTTCACATACCACTCCAATGTCATTCTTCGATAACCACTCCATTCTAATATGATATCAAATTTGTCTAAAACACATCAACCTAACAGGGTAACTTCCTACCGTTTGATTGAAAAAATTCTAATCTTCTTTTTTCTAATTGCTTAGATTTTTTTATTCAAGAAGTGGAAAAAACAGCTTCTAGATGTACTTAAGTCGAATAAAACTAGGGCACAATAATCATCGACAAGAATCATACCTGAAACATTGTCAGTGATTCCTTTAACCTTATTTGTTATAATGACATATATCATATTCCTTACCTCTAGTTCCTGCACATTTCCAATCTTAACTAAAACTAGTTAGCTCTCGTTCCATGTGAAAATATAGGAAATCCTCATATTAACTACTAACAAAAAGAGTCGTTGAGAAGAAAAAAAATGTTCCAACATATATATAACATAATTAGCCTATATCACTACCAAACCGGGGAACTTTTCCTGCGGCCATATCTGCCAGAAATGCATA